TGTTGAGAATGAAACTATGTCCAGGACTATAACTCGGTTAGTTTTTGCCATCTATGATATCTAAATAACCATGATGCTAAACGATAGTACTTACTGCTTAAAGTCTAGTGTGCTACAATATTCAACCATCGTATCTTCGACACAAATACCAGATAGCAGCACCCACTTGTCTTGCATCTTCCGATGCGCCTCTCTCATTTGCTCTAAAAATCCACATGTTTGTGTGGATGTATTCGTCGAAGGACAGACAGCAGTGGCAGCAACGGGGACATTCTGGTATAAGTACTCATACACGCTAAGCTAGTCTGGCGCACCAAGTACCTGATTGACAATAAAAACACAATAAATAAGCTTTGCTATTGAGATAAAATAAACATGAAAATGATAGATCATTCATTCTTTTTGAATTAAAACAGCAATCTTAAAGACTTCTAGTTCCTTTCTATTGTTGAACACCACACATTTCATAAAATAAAAAATATTATATTATATTAGTGAGAATATAAAATAAATAAAAATTGACTAAAATAAATATTAACTTTTTCTTTTTAATTAAAAATAAGGAATAATAATAGTTATAAGAGTAATCTTTTAAGTTATATCTTTATACTGTATACATCTATAATTAAATTTATAAATTTTTTAAATTAAAATGTACTAAAATATCAGATTCCAAAAATTGGTACTATTATAATAGGCTTTTTATTTATATATCAATATTCAATTTCATGTTTTATAAATTAACTTTTTTTAAATTTCATCTTTAATTAAATCAAATTTAAAATTATATTTATTACTTTTTATATATCTAGTATTCTGAGCATCGATGGAAATTAGAAACTAATAAAGTTAATTTCTAAATTAATCCATGAATTTAATGATTTAATATTAATAATATAATTAATAATATATTTTATAATTAATATAAATTTTAAAATAAAATAAAATAAAATATATAATTAAATTTTTTTTTGTGGGGGGGGGGTAAAAAACAAAATATTTATTTATAGTGAAATTTAAAATTAAGAATAGTATGTAACAATTCTCTCTATACTCTATCCAATTTTTTCACTCTGTCTTTGAACCGTCTTCTTGATGTCTCCTTGTTTTCTTTGCTTTTTGATATAAAGCCTTGTTTTTAGCGGCAAACTAGGAGAACTATGACGTCGACTTGCCGTCGAACAGCTTTGACAATTCTGAAGATTTGCTCGGCAGACATTTCAACATACTTGTACACCGAGTTGTTCTTCAGATCGTCAGGTAATAGAACTTGATTGACGAAGTCCAACAGCTGTACTCGTGAGCCTATGAAAATATTCAATACTTTGTATTCATACAAACAAAGGAGACAATATACCACGAGAAAGATACTCATGGATGAGGTTTCTTTGGTCAGCGTCCTCATCGCTTTCTTCTTCTGCTGCAGATTGTGTGCTTGTGTGGTGATACTGTTGGTATTAAAAAGGAACAAAATCAATTTTTTTATGCTACCAGGAATGGTTCGGTTGTGTCGTTGTTGATGTAGCAAAGATCAACGCAGCCTATTTTGTCTACACAATCCTCGCACTCTTGTTCGTTTTTGGCATTCAATGGTTCCCTAAAGAAAATGCATGCTGCCTGGGCGCGAGTAGTTGGGTACGTTGTGACATTGGTTAATGCGGAGAAGGGTGGTATGTGAGGGATCCCATTTTTTATTTTATATACCGGTCAAGTGGAACATATATGAGTTTCTGACGTATTCTATCTAATTCACTCGATGTATGCTTTTCACCAACAACCACGCACACATGCTCTCTTTCTCTTAATATTGTATTCTTCCTCAACATTTCCTCACATTCAATATATCATAGAAAAGTAAACTTCTCACGTAACTATAATAGAGTGCCCAATGAATGAATAAAATATAATCACGTCTTATCGAATAATTTATTCGTACATCATTTGCTGCCTTCTATCAAAAACCAGCAGGAAGCGCCTCAACAAGTCAAACAGAAGTCGGAACGACATACCAAAGCCTTTCAGCTAGTCCAACATATTCTAATTCCTCTAATTAATCAATAAAAGTCGAGGAATATCAAGGACGGCATGCACATAACCCGAAAACATAGCGATCCTGAATTTTATATATAACTGTGTGAACACGTGCTTTCAGTCCACCTTGTACTTTGGCTCAGTTGCAAGGCGAGTGCCAATGACCCAATAAAAGAACCCCCACCCCTTGTCAACCAGTGCACTGTCCGTGGTGAAACTTGGAAACTTTGAGAGGGTATTGGGCGTCGGGGCTCATGTAATTCTGTTGCTTTATACACCATACGTGCATTTAGTTGGGTCGAATGCAAGCAGCGAAATTCCAATGGTTGACACGTTCAAAAATCATACGAGAAGACAGCACAAAAAAAAAGAATATGTTTCTTCCCTGGCGAACGAGCCTAAGGGAACGAGCCTTGTGCGAGCAGAAACCAGGGAACGGCCCGTGTTTCGGCAATGCAGCTGCATTTGTACAGTACATACACTACGGTTAGAGAGATAGCAACCATCACACGGTGTCTGAAAAGTGTTGAAACAGAAAGAATGAATCCGTGATCTATGCACGCAGCAGATTCTGAAAACCGATTGAAATTGAAAGTGTCAACCCGAAGCAATTGTTAGAGACCGAGGCAGCCGAATTCGTGGCAACAACGAACCTACTTTCATCCCATGACACGCTCACTTCCGGTGGAACGATGGGACCATCCAACTCGACAAAATAAAAAAGAGCAACTATTATCCATTGCTGTCCACAAGGACGTTGTACGTTTTTTTCCTAAGCTTGCTTGATCTTAGGGAATACTGCAACTACCTATCATAGAGCCTGAAGGCCAGGACTCGATTCGCCTCCAAATGCCGATTTTCGTCCTACGTCGTCATTGTTGCACGCAGTCTTCTGCACGACAACCTCACCCCCCCCCCCACACACACACTGAAGATCCCTAGTATTTATGAAAATGCAAAGGCATACATAGCCAGTCAAAAACAATGGATACTCACTCGTAATCAAGTGTATTTCTAGCAGCAGTATATCGATCTTGTTGAATGGCTTTGGTGAGGAGTCGAACGGAGGGACAATCAAGTTGCAAACTCAAATCACGACATAAACATGTAACAATTTTTCAGCATTGTCACCTCGTGTTCGGGTCGACACTGGACGTTAAACATTCACTCAGTTCACAGCGGCTATGAAACAATTATAATCGACTACATGACATATTGCCCATACGTTAGTAGTTTTAGGTAGGTAGCTGGTTTTCGGATTCGGAGATGCAAGTATATATGTATACCCTCCATGGGAAAGTGTCCTCCAAGTTGTGCTGCGATCTAGCGCATGTTAGAAGCGATGTAGTGTCAAACACTGGCTACTGCTACTAAGAGTGGGTAGCCGTTCCTCACTATAATAGCCGCTATATGTATCTCCGTTATCTGGTAACATATATATCAAAACACAATTACAGTAGGAAAGACACTTTAGAATTTTTAACGCCAACAGAACACAAGTAACAAGAAGACATAGCTGTTGTCAATGCCTTATGTGGATACCGACGGTTTCCTTTGGTAAATAATCATATAAATTATTTAATATGATACGATGGACATTTCAACAATGACGAGAAGAACCATTGGCAGAGAACAAGCTAGAACGTGAGGATAAAGCAAACGTTGGCAACAGCATGCAAGCATGTTATAATTAAATGTGGCTATCTGTAAATGGACATTAATAGTGAAGACTGTTTATAGGTGTTTTCTGGAAATAATTTACTGATTCTTTGTATAAAGCGCCATTGGCAAAGCATATATATTGATATTAAATCACCACTATGCATACGCATTTTTGAAACATTCATCCCCTAGACCACGTTTCTACAACGCTATGTACCACCCACATGTCGAGAATTTCTGTACCGACGACGCCTTGCAATGCTGTAATTCGCGGATGCTGGACGTTTATATCACGGATAAACCAATTGATCACCGCGTCAAACAAAGATCAGGGTATATCTCAACGATGATGGCTATAGAAAGAAACAGAGGATGCGGCTTAGGGGCGAGATATGTTTCTGTTTTCAACAAGTAGGTACAGAGTGAAGCGAGAATAGTTCCCAAAAGCCAATGATGGGGAATTTATTACTGTTGGGGGGTCCCTTCATGCTTTGATCATCGGGTCAGCTACCTGCTCTTTTGTTGAAGGTAAGGTAATACGAGCTGTGTCGTCACTGCACACACACACATATATATATATATATATATAGCCCATTGACTTTTAGGATTCTCAAACGTCAACAGACTGGCATAACAATATCGTTTAATTTCGGTGCACCGTTTTTCTTAAAGCAGTAAATTCATTACATATGCAGGTAAAATCTGTCAGGCTGGCAGATTTTCACAGTATTAGGACAAGCGTGATTTTTTTACAGTATCATACGTGGCCATGCATGCACTATGTACATACACGATTAAAAAGGAGAACACGATTCAATGATGGACATTCGGTCATATCTCCCAGGAGAGAGACAGAGAGAGAGAGAGAGAATGTGTACGTATATTGCCAAATGTGATCGCGTGTTTATATTTCATGTTGTTTGCAACAATTAAACATTTGAAATTTTTACACTGGGGTCCTCCTCTTGTATAATCTCTTTGCACCGACGGAACCACAAAGTGGAGTGCACAGCACAGTTGCACGTTTACCACAAAAAAAAGAAGAAAGGTTGCACGAGCATTCTACTCCACCACCCCCCCCCCAAAACTCATTTCAGGTCCAGCAATAATTGACTCCCAGTTTTCCTCGTTCCTCTCTCTCTCTCTCTCTCTCTTGCTTTTGCTCCCCTTTTTGTTCGCTCTATACTCACACACAATATACCCGGTCCGAAGAGAGAGAAAGAGAGAGAGACAAGTCCAGCCTCAAGCCGCTATTTTTTTTTATTGAATTCTCAAACTCACTTTGTTAACGGCTCATCTCGACAACCATGACCGAAATCATTAAAGATGGTTACTTGTCTGTCAAAGAAGAAGGTTTGCGCGCATGGATATGGTCCAAGCGGTTCTGTGTTTTAAGAGATCAAGCCCTTACCTTTCACAGAAACGAGGTATAGAACAAGATTAGCAAAAAGAAGTGTTCGTGTGTGTGTCCCCCGCGCTGATATACAAGGTATATTGTTCCCCATCATGGAAACGAAATAGCAATCAGGTCAATGCGTTGCCCTGATTTTTCTGAAAGAGATCACATCCGTTACGCGCACCGACCTGAAACCATACTGCTTTGAAATTGCAGTCAAAGACAAGACGTACTATATCGCCTGCAAAAGCGACGATGAACTCTATTCCTGGATGGACGATATATACAATGCAAGTTTCTTTTTCTTTCTTTCACCGTGAGACATAAGGTCGTCTTCGTGTGTGCTAACACAAACTTCGTTACAGAGATCACCTTTAGGTGCTTCAGGACCTACCAACTTTGTTCATCAAATGCACGTCGGTTTCGATCCCAATACAGGTGCCTTTACTGTACGTAGTATCACACATTGTGACAGAGAAAGTATCCTATATATAAAAGTGTGTGTATATTAATGACAATTCGTTATAGGGTATGCCGGATCAATGGACGAAACTGTTGAAAGGATCAGCCATCACGGCCGAAGATGCTGCAAAGAACCCTCAAGCTGTCTTGGACGTACTTGAATTTTATACCGAACAAACCAAACGCGAGGCAGAAGAATATGGCGCCTCACATCTCCAGGGCGCCGTTGAGCGTATGAGTGACGACCGATGGGCAGCACTGCTACAAGAGTCCAAGAGAGCTGCTCCACCGGCAGGAGCAGCAGGACCAGGAGCCAATGGCGGCCGTGTACCGCCACCACGTCCACCACCACCGCCTCCCATGGCAGGAGGTTTACCTGATGTCGATGTCAATGAGATGATGGATGAACTGTCCATTCGCCAACCGGTAAGTAGTTTGGGTTGAGGAGGTTTTTCCAAAGGAATAAAACAGGGGGGGGGGCAGCAGACAACTCACATACATGTGTTGTTATATAGCAATCCAAACTTTCGCCCAAGGGTGATCCAGTAAGTATATTACATTGAGTGGTACACACTTTCTTTCTTTCTTTCCTTTCAAAAAGGGTAAGTGTTGGGATATAAAAGGATTAACACAAGATTTCATTAAAGGGGGCTTATCCCAGCTCACCTGTTGTGAAACCACCATCGAGCCCACGACCTGAAGCCTCCAAATCTTATCGACAGCAACAGCAGCAGCAGCAGCAGCAGCAGCAATACGATTATGAACGTGAGAAACAGCAACAGCGATTAGAGCGTGAGCGATTACAATTGCAGCAACAACAACAACTGCAACAACAACAACAGCAACAGCAACAGCAGCAGCGCGAGCGCGAACGTGAACGGGAACGGGAACGTGAGCGAGAGCGAGATCGATTGCGTCGTGAAAAAGAAAAGGAACAACGTGAGCGACAGCGCGAGAGAGAAATGCGTGAGCGAGAAATACGTGAGCGAGAGATCCGGGACCGAGAACGAGAAAAGGCAGCAGCCCAAGTGTCAGGGGCAACGCAGCAGCAGCAGCAGCAGCAGCAGCAAAAGAAAAAGGTTGAACAGCGCATCTCGACAATGACGGAGGCACAGATCATGGAGAAGCTGCGGTCGGTTGTGACACGCGGCGATCCAAACTCCTCGTACAAGAAATTGAAGCGCGTTGGCCAAGGCGCATCGGGATCGGTCTATGTTGCGATTTCGCATGCGACAAACACCAAAGTTGCTATCAAGCAGATGGATCTTGCCAACCAGCCGCGCAAGGAGCTTATTGTCAACGAGATCCTGGTCATGAAAGAGTCGCAGCACCGCAACATTGTCAACTACCTTGACTCGTTCTTGGTCGGCTCCAAGGATCTCTGGGTGATCATGGAATACATGGAGGGCGGTGCTTTGACAGATGTGATTGACAATAACACAATGACGGAGCAGCAAATTGCCACTGTTTGCCTCGAGGTAAGAACAATCTGTTTACATAACAACAGCAGCAAACTGACACGGGCCCCAATTCTATAAGACGTCAGCTGGCCTGCATCATCTCCACACGCAAAACATTATCCACAGAGACATCAAATCGGACAATATCCTCCTCAACTTCCAAGGCAAAGTCAAAATCAGTGATTTTGGGTTCTGTGCTAAACTGACGGAATCCAAGAACAAACGTGCGACGATGGTTGGCACGCCCTACTGGGTAATTTAAAGCCGTAAAAATGTGTCTTTTATGCATTCTACTAAACACTAGGGTTTGATGATGATGCTTTAGATGGCCCCTGAGGTGGTCAAGCAGAAAGAGTATGGTGCCAAGGTGGACATCTGGTCACTGGGCATCATGGCCATTGAGATGATCGAGAATGAGCCTCCATACCTGGACGAAGAACCGCTCAAGGCTCTGTATCTGATTGCTACCAATGGCACACCTACGCTCAAGCACCCTGAAAAGCTGTCCCGAGAGCTCAAGAGCTTCTTGGCGGTCTGTCTTTGTGTCGATGTTCGATCGCGAGCCACTGCCACTGAGCTGCTAGAGGTAATTGCTACAAGTCCTTATTTAATAACAACAAAAGGAGAGACAAAGAGACTGACTGACTTATTATAATCATAATAGCACGACTTTTTAAAGAAGGCAGGGCCTTTGGATATCCTGGCGCCACTCATGAAATTCAAAACCAGTAAACGCTAAAATAGTTGTTTCCCGAGAGAATAAAAAAGAATTATTTATTTATTTCGGAATAATATCCCTCCTCCTCATCAGCATCATCATCCTCAGCATCATCATGACAGGGAAGGCCACTCTATCTATGCAGGGATCAGCTGTGGATAAATTTGCTGGTGGCTATTCGATCTATCAGCGAACAGCCACTCCCTCCTGCCAAGTCACCCTTTCTAAAGAAAAGAAAAAAGACACCTAGGCGAAATTCTTCCGTAGATTCGGAAATATGGTGTGCATCCTCTCTCTCTCTCTCTCGCTCTCTCTATGTAGAGTGCCCAACTGGAAGCAAAATAAAAGAGAGAGAAGAGAGAGAGGCAAAAAGGCGACGCACGTATTTGTTGTAGGAAAAGGAGGAGACAAGCGGAAATATTTTTCCTCGTCAAATGGTGCCGTTGAGTCTCCAATGCCTCTTTCTTTTCCAACACCCCCTAGCTTTGGCAGACACGCACGCACACTCACAGAGCACACACACACACACACACACACACGCACAGCACGACATTGCTCTTTCTTTCTTTTCTCTCTTTCTCTCTTTTTTTTTTCTTCCTTTCCTTTCAATTCTTTTTCTTTTTCGCTCGTCGATTGTCCCGTCGTCTCAGTACTTTCTTTCTTTCTCATTACTCGCTACTCTCCTTCTTCTTCTTCTTCTTCTACCTCCCTTTCGAAACCAACACAAAACCAATAAAACGACAGACAGAGCAGCACACACAACACCCTCTTAAGAAGAAAGAAAAACACCCTACGCGCCGCTGCTCCCATATTTTATACGCCTTTGAGTGACACAACAATACAACAACAACAACCGTGAACTATCAATGCCATTGCTAAAGCCAGGCCAGCCAATCCGAACCACTGGCAACAATCTGGTGGGCCTCTGGCGGCCGTCGTTCGTCAAGGTGGATCACCGTCTCTTCGTCTATGGCGGTGGCGGAAACGTAACGAACGACTTGCATGTACTTAATTTATGCGATATGCGCTGGGAAACGATCCAGGTAAACAAACAGCCAGCCGCTATCTCTCTATAGGACATCAACAAAAATAATCACTCCTCCTCCTCTTCCTCCTCCTCCTCCTCCTCCTTCCCTGTCCATCTATTCATCCATTCATCCCCCACCCCCACTCTTAAGCCCTACATTTGCACATACACACACACACACACACAAATCAGCAACAGCAGTACCACCAAACACCCCCTCCCTTTTACGCCCCCCCTCTCCACCCTCCCCTTCCCTGTGCAGCCCCCCCCCTCCCCTCTTCCGCTTATCTCTTTCTGCTCTTTCTGCTCTTTTCTGTGTGTGTGCGTGTGTCCATCCCTTGTCAATGTTACTGATGTTTACAACAACGGATAGACCGTCAAAGGCACTGCTCCTTGCAAACGGTACGGCCATACTGCAACACTGTGGAACAATTGCATTATCGTCTTTGGTAAGCTTTTTTCTTCTTTCATGATGATGCGTCCGCCTTTAATAGATAGATAGATAGACAGTCTACGTCAACATGATCTAACCGCCTAGAGATATAGGTGGCTGCAATGAGATTACAGAGTATTGCAACGACATTCACATATTCGACCTCGACAAGCTGACTTGGTTTCAACCCCAAGTCACCGGAAGCGTGCCTGCACGCTATCTGCACAGTGCGGTCGTGTTCGACAACAAGCTCTTTGTCTATGGTGGATTTGCAAAGAACTCGGATTGTAAGTCTTCCCTATCTAGCGCGTTGCGACCCCCACAGTTTTTTTTTGGTCAGAAAAAAATTACTAAAACCCAAGAATGCTTGTAGGCACCTATGTACTGGATGAATTGAGCGTGTTGGACCTAAAGACATTTGTTTGGTCTAAATATCACGGGGTTCCGCCACGGTACAACCATTCGGCAACCTTGATCGGACACAAGATGTACATTTACGCCGGCAAGGACGAGCACGGTAACACCGTCTCTGATCTATTTGTGATCAACCTCAATGCGCCACCTTACACGCCGCATCTCGTACTGAGCGGGTCCCAGTCGAGTGCGAGCTCACACATGGTCTTGCTCAAAAGCCAGCATTTCTGCGAAGCGGTCTGTGGCAAGTTATTGGTCTTTGGACGTTATCTCGCGCACGGTCAGCAGCAACAGCAACAGTTGACAGGAGCAGCAAACGGTACGAATCATCCAGACTCTGTGTATGGCCTGTGGATGCTGGATCTGGACACACTCGAGTGGGAGCGACAGGAATGCAATGCAAACTTTGAAGTGGGTGGCTGGAACTACTTTACCATCGTCAGCGAGACTGGGAGTCTTGGAGGAGACGAGCAGTCGCAGGTTACGATGAACAACTTGTTCTTTCTGGGTAACACTGATCCATTCCGACCCCAGGGCTATGACCATTTCAGGTATGTACTTGATCTATACATAGAAGAAGAGCGATACGTCCTGACACTATATCGTCACAACAACAACACACGTTTTTAGGGACGCACTGGTGATTAACGCAGAATCACTGGGACTGTATGACATTCCACCACCCAACTTTTCGCACGAGTTTGCACAGCTCCTCAACAATCCAGAACTATCAGACTTTGTGATCGTGCCGTCGAATGGACAAGAACTGCATGTGCACCAGGTTATCTTGATTACGCGCTGGCCGCACTTTAGGGATATCTATCGGTCGGGGATGATCGAAGCGCAGCAACGACGCATGGAAATTCCAGAACCGTACGAGATTGTGCTTGCATTTCTCAAGTACCTGTACAGCGACCGACTGGACGACAACGAGCCGTGGCAGGTGGTCTGCGAAGTGCTTGTGGTGGCCAACATGTATCTGTTGAATCGATTGAAAAAGATCTGCTGCGAACGCCTGTTTCGCCATCACATGACGGTCGAGAGCTGTGGTTTGATCTTTGAGAAGGCCATCATGGCCGATGAGGCCGGTCTCAAGATGCTTGCGCTCGACTTTATGTTTAGAAACTATGGCTCGGTCCTCAAGTCGGATGTGCTCCTGCAGATGCCCATCTCTGTGCGCCAAGAGTTCATGGAGGCGGTGCCGGACGAAGCAGTGCTCGAAGTCAGTCGCTCGTCGTCTTCCATTGTTCCTCGCACGTTGCCGTCGCCTACCAAATGTCTTGCGGCAGTCGCTGCTGCCGCGTCTACCGCTTCTTCTGTGAATAATAATACCGTCAACAATAACAGCATTACTACTACATCTACTACTAGCACTTCTCATCATACTGCCACTAATACTAATACGACTCCGTCCAGCATGCTGGGTATCTCCACTCCTCCACATTACTCGTCCCCTACCTCCTCCTCCTCGTCTTCTTCTTCTTCGTCGTCGTCGTCTTCATACAGTCCTTCAACGGCGACAGCAGCAAGTACAACAGCGGCAGCGGCAGCGGCGGCAGCAGCAGCAGCAGCAGCAGCACGGATGCGACATTCGATGAGCAGCGGGGTGCAAACAAATGGCATGAGTGTGGGCGTATAATAGACAGAAAACAAAAAGCAACATGGATCCCCGTTCCCCCACAACATTTAAAAGCTGTCCCCTTTCCCTCCTTCCCCTCCCCCCCACCCCACCCCCAAACCAGGCCAGCCAATCAATCTCAAGTTGTATATTACCGCACTTACTTTTATTATGAACACAAACAGGCACCTTTTCCTTTGCCTTTATTAAACGAACAAAACAACTAGAAAGTAGAGTCGCTGTTGGAAAAAAACCGTATTTTTCATTAATGCTGTTGTTGCTGTTGCTGTTGCTGGTGGTGCTGGTGGGTGAACACTCCTTAAGAGTGATCTACGTGCCTGATCCATCTTGTTGTTAATAAGGAATTTATTTGTTCTAATAGCTGAACCAACTGGCGTGATTTGCGCAACCTCAGACCACAGTTTTTTCTTCCTTGTCGGCTCATATGCGCTCTACTTGGTAGCGTACATACAGTCTTGTTTACCATGATTACATACAAAGAAATTTGAGTTATGTATGCTGCATTTTGTCACGCCACAGTTTTGTTTGAGTTTGTTGTTGGACTAGCACGATGTTGATGCCTATTACTTACCCACTTACTGCTAATATCATACCTCCACTCACACACTAATCAGCTCACACACACTCTCTCTCTCTCTCTTTGCCTTGCTGCTGCTGCCTTGCTGCTGCTGCTGCTGCTGCTGCTCGTAGTTTTAAACACGATGCCAAGAACTCATCCCACTTCTCACTCTCACCCCTCTCCTCTCCTCCCCCCCCTAACCAAATTTTCTTTTTTTCTACTATCGAATTTGCCAAGAAGTTCAGGGCCATGCATGACAAACCAGGCATATATCATCAACATGCAGAGACACACCGGAATTGGGATCCACACCAATTCCCACATAACGTATAAATACTAACCACCTTTCTCGCTGTTTTGACATTTTGCTCTGTATCACACACACACTACTTTTACACTTTCACTCACTCACTCACTCACTCACTCACTCACTCACTCACTCACTCACTTACTCACACAATGTTCTTCCAAGCCTCTTACTTTTTCGTCAATCGACGCGTCATTCTTGCCTTGCGCAACTCTACTAGCCATACCAATTCACCTGCAACCACAACCACCAATACCACCAATACCACTGCCTCTAGTCAACGCAAGAAGAAAAGTGTTCGCTTTAGTGGTGTCGACACTGTACGTTACACGCATAGTCCTTCGGAATACGACCGATCATACCAGATCCAGCAGCAGCAACAACAACAACAACAACAACAACAACGACACCGAAAGGCTGCTGTTGCTGCTGCTGCTGCTGCTGCTGCTGCCACAAGCACAACCACCACGATGAAGAAACCACGAAACACCAACCTGAGGATCGACACGCAGCTTGCATTGGGTGACAAATATACGGGTCCGCTTTTCTTTACGCAGCTTTCCACCAATTACGGACGCCACTGCAAACCGCATCAAGAACGCAATATTCTAATGGCATCAACGTGCTAAGACTTCCTGTCGTTCCCTTTACACACACACACACACACACACTCCTCCGACAACTCCTCTACCTTGATGACCTCCTCTTCGGTCACCCCCTCATCTGAGCAACTTTTACATATCCCAGACACCCTGCTTGTATTTCTCACATACATCTTTTACATATATACCAAAAAAGCACACACACACACACACTCTCTTTCTCTTTCTGTTTTTTTCAAGACGTTCTTTGTACAATCTAAAACGCGCACTTTGTAAATAATCATGATATATTAGATATTGTATACAATGAAATTATATTAAAAAAAACATAAACATATATATATATATATTGACTGTGAGTCGAGTGTGTCTTTCTGAGGATGGGATGTTGGAGTAGGAAGAGAGGGATGAGCGGGTAAAAGAGGAGGGATTCGACAAAAGAAAAAAATGACGGTGATGAGGTGTCTTGTTGATGAGAGATAGAAACAGTTTTTTTTTACCATGCAGCTTCTGCTTCGAGTAGCGGATATTGTTCCTAGATCATAAATGCGCGACGGAGTTATATTTTGGGATCACAGGTTGTCGTGTGTGTGTGTGCACGGAGAGCAAAGGTAAACAGGGAAGGGAAAAAAAGCCGTGCGCAGGGGGGGGGAGAGGAGCATAAAAAAGTCCTACTATCAAAATGTCACAAAATGTAGGTTTACCTGCTGTTTCTCCGTTATTACGGATGGTTCCTGCCGCTGCAGGGTTGGGGTGTATCCATCAAGGATCGAAGTAGTAGTAGTAGATTTTGCAGGTTGTTCAATTGTCAGCGTCAGAGGGTGGTGGTGGTGGTGGTCGTCGTCGTCGTCGTCGTGGTGTTGGTGCTCATGGAGAACGACATCTTCTGCATGGTGAGACTCTGGGGAGGAAGGGATGCTGTACGAGGCTGTAGGTGTGTAAGGCGGAGCAGAAGCAGGATAATTGGGCTTCTGGATCACTTGGTGACAGAGGAGCGATGCTCCCTTGGAATGCGGGCTTTGTAACCAGTACAAGAGGGCGAGTTTGTAGACGTTGTAGTTGGGGAATAATGAGAGGATATCGGATGTCCAGTTATCGAGCACTTTTAAAATGTATTAAAAATAGAAAGTATGAGTACTTTGCTAGGACCGGCGAGCGACATCCCACGGCTTTCTTACCTTGAAACGTGCCATAGATAATCCAATAGGTGAGCCATGACTTGTACTCACGTTCACGCTCAACCGCACTGCTGCTGCTGCTGCTGCCATGTGTTGCTTGTTCTTCAACTTCTTCTTCTTGTTGTTGTTGTTGCTCCTTAACAAGTCGCCAACACTGCCAAGCGGGGTAGACAACACCCACGAGATTCAGCGCGAGCCGTGTTGACTGTTTGTAAAATCGCCGAACTCCACCTGCAATCCCTGCCGTCAAGCTCACAAACAGAAGGATCGGATTGACTCCTTTCCGTACAAGAAAGCGGAATAGCCGTGACTGGGCATAGATTGTCTCTAGCGAATGAACACGGCTTATGGATGCTTTACCGAACGGTCGAGTGAGGAATTCGAGGTTGATCGGAGACTGGCGATTTAAGGATTCCAGAAAGCGTTCAATCGCACTCGAGGTGGCATGCAGTCGAAAGTCAACACCCGCGTTATTGTTGTTGTTGTACGGATGGTCGTGATCGTGGTATGAGTGGTACGATTCCGTCATGTTGAATTAATAGGCTGGTTTCTTTTTTTTTTTTTTGCCCGTGCTTGAGGGGAGGGGTGAGGGGGGAGGGGAGGGAGTTTTGGTAATATGTACAGGGTAGTATTGCTGTAGAGTGGTCAGCTCTATTAGCAGTTGTAGTTAAAGTGCGAAGGAGGGGCTCCAAAAAAAAAAAAAAAAAAAAAACTCAAAGAGCGAGAGAGACCAAGTAATAATTTCTCAATTAGTCTTGCTGGAGGGAAATCTGCTACTGCTATTACTACGCAATTATCGCCACTAGTAGCATTAGCAGTAGCGGCAGCGGCAGTAGTGGCAGTATTAGCAATGGTATAAATCTCTCTCTCTCTCCTTTTGCCTATTTTCCCTTGTGAGTACTTGGCCGGATGGACACGATGGAAACGATGGAATGGAACATTCACTTTTCGATATCCAAGAAAAGGAGGATCATGTTCTCCTTCTACTCCTCGTCGTCTTTTTTGCTATCAAGAGACCCTTTGTCCTGTTCCTCCTTTCCCAATGATGAATGAAAGTCGTCGTTTGGGTGTCACAAGGGTTGATCAAACGCTATCACGTGGAAATGCAATTCACGTAATAAGCCTCGTGGTTTTTCTATCTTCTGTTCAAATTATAGCAAGGGAAATTCTTGGTTGGGTATATATATATATATATAAAAGAAAAAAGTTCTAAACTATTCGACGTTGTGGGGAAGTACAACGACGAGGTTTTTGCTTAACGTATCTGCCACCATGACCAGCATTTGTTCCTGCAGCACTGCTTGCTGTTGATACGAAGCAAGGACGTACTGAACTGCCGAAACAACCTGGGCAGCTGCATACTGGTACACGATATAACCCGTCAGGACAGCCATCCCATACATGGCACAGATCGATGCCGCAGTCTTGGCAAGGAGCCACATTGCTTCGAATGGACGCAGCGACAGGTGGAGGCGCTCCACGTAGACAGGGAGCAAGGATTGGCTGAGTACGCGGATGTCTCGATACGAAAGCGGAACAATCATCGTCAAACCCCGTTGGCCAGCAACAGTCAGCCGGAATTCCAGGTAGCTGCAGAAATCGTAATACGCTTGTTCAGGCACGAACAACTTGTACCGCATGTCGCGTAGAAACCGTTGTTCAAGCCGGTTGATCTCTTGGCAGTTGTATTGCTGTGTAAAATCGGCCCAGTCAGCATTGGTCCATGTCACATCCGCACTAAATATAAAATAGAGTCCAATGGAAGAGGGAGGGAGTTAAAAACGCCAGCAGTCATTGTCGTCATCCTCATTTTAACTGATAGGTATATCTATTTTCTTTTCCTCCCCAGACACATAATATGTAGCTACAGGATCCGTAGTTGCTTGAAAAAAAGATATATTGACACTTACAGGAACTTATCGGCAACAATAACGCTGGCCACGAATAAGTCACGCGGTGTCCAGTTCGTGTTGCTGCTGATAGTACTCGCAGCATTGCCGCAGCCCGGATGGAGGTGATCAATGTACCAGAGACAAAGGATCAAGGACGAGCATGAAATTTGAGCACGTGCAAGGGTTTTTCGAATGAATTTAACGTTGGCGCGCAGGGCTTCGGAGGCCGATGATGGTAATGAGGAGTAGCGGTTGACAAGACTTGCAATAAAAACAGCAGTGAAATCTGTAGCAAACAGTTAAAGTCACTCCCGCTGTTGTTGTTGTTGTTGTAGTAGTAGTTCATCATCTGAATGGATGGATGGATTTCTTAACGGGTTCCATTTTCATCCCAAAGGGAAAAGTTTCTTTTTAGGTTACCTATCAGTTCCATAGGTATCACTGTAGATGTATCATGATAACCTCGATGTTTTGCCACACCGAGCATATGCTGAAAAGCAACCATGTGGCCATAATACTAAAAGTGGGTGGGCAAATAAGTATCAGGATACTATCAATGTCGACATTGTTGTTTTCTTTCATATGAATTATTACCGAACGATCGGCATGGTGGGCCATTTTGTCTCTTTCTGACTGTTCTTTTCGTAATAATGATCGTTTTGAATTGCGTTTCGACATGACGATTCGGGGATATAGGAAAGAATGTAGCGAGTAATAAGAAAAGAAGGAAGGGTTTTGAAGGACGCTAGTACAATTGGGCTTATGTTTGCTAGTTTATTTGGGACCCCGCTGCAGAGGGCAGCTCATGCGCATAAGCAGTGGAGGACTGACCAAAATTTACTGACACCATCATCACGCTGCTGCCCTAACATGCTGCTGCTGCTGCTGTGGGCCTTCTTTTGTATATGTCTCATGAAATATACTTTATACGTAGTACAGCATAGATAAATTGCACTGAAATACTATTGAAGCTTCAAAAACAGCACATTACATAAAAGTGCCATTCGTGGATACTTGTGAAAGATATAATACGTGCATGTGCAGGCTTATTTTCCTTGGGCGCGCGAACTGCCATGGATGATCGATAAGTCCATCGGTCATAGATTGCCTGTTTTATGATCCATTGTTGTATCTTCCAACATATTGAGGGTACCTTGGCTGTCTGTTTTACACAAGTTTCAGAAAAGACAATGTCAGCAGCTAATCCAGCAATAGAGACATGGCAAGCTTCATTCTACCTGCAAATAGTAGAGCTTTTCTGTAATTCCGGGAACAAGCATGATGTGGCTATGTATCACGATCACACAGCACGTCGAGTCACGCTACTGTACTGCTATAACCATGACATAAACGTCTTGATAGACTACCTGATGTTCCTTGTCAAAAGTTTATGAAATACTGTTTATTTAGCTCTGACATGTTTCTAAATTGCAATGTTTGTAGCTTCTAGTCCAGCAACAATAAAGTGACATGGTTTTTTTAAGCTCCTTTTGTCTGCAGATGGCATTTGCATCATTCCTGTCCAAGCATGCTGTGAACATGACAATCTCCGCGCGATGTGCTATTCTTCTTATGAATAACACGTTTTAAGAGTCGTTGCGACCGATAAATAAACCTTAAAGAAAGCAGGGTGTATATTTCATACTAGCCAAGTAGCTGAAGCACCCATTTCCAGTACCACTCCGGGGCCTTCACGGCAGTAAGTTGCGGGTACATCTCTTCTAGGACTTTCGCCCATGTCTCTCCCCTTTTACCAATGTCGTCCTATTTTTGGAGGATCGTCACCCTTCGTCATCGTCCAGGTCATCTTTCCACATGATCACAATTTTTGAGCAGCAAAGGCTATTATCCATTCGTTCAGATTGGACAACTGCTGGCACCAGTGATGAATTTTCAATTGTTTTTTTTTTTTTGGTGAGCAGCTTGGGTTTCAGATAGTGCGTAGTGGAATGTGTGTCGGTGATAGCAAAGAACATGAATGAACGGGCTCTATATAATGTACTTGGTCTTCAGAGTATAAAAGGCAATGAAAAAAATTGGACCTTAAGCAATTCTACCAGTGAGTCACCTAACAATTGATTTATGTCATTTCTGATAATTGCATGTAATGAGTAGATATTTCCCGTTAATAGTTAGCGCAACAAGCATAAGCACTAAACTGTTTTGTGCTTGTGCGACACTTTTAAGCTGCCACGCACTGAGCTTAGCATCAACGATGTCCGCGGTCAGACATATTACTTCTTTTAGTTAGAGAGAAGGAGGGCTCTCTTTTTTTGTGTAATGAGCTTATTTCCACAGGTGCTTAGCATTGAGTTATATTATATCTAACTACAAACTTTTGAATCACTGCTCTTTCGCAAATGAAATACCTCTTAGGGCAGAAAAGTTTGCGATCAAAGCTATCCCCAAAAGCAATTAATTTTCTCTCCCTTTATCTGCCTTACATTAATTCTGGTACCCATTTTAATTCCAATTCTTATACTACGTTCTGTAAAGGCATCGCAACACGTCTACTCTCAAGTCAATAGCTTTCAAGTACTACAGCGAGATTTTACTACGAACACGGCGTTGGTCAAGCAATCTGATGGTCAAACTCTCTCACTCGAAATTGGGGGGCCTTATACCATTGACAATGCAACCAATGTTCTTGTTGGTGACGTTTGGGTTATGAGTGGCCAAAGCAACATGCGTGGGAGTGCCTTTTACACCAATCCTTGGACTGACCCCCCGTCAACATACCCAGAATATGTTGATGAAATGGTACACCTGTTTCAATCCAATGAGGATTGGAGCTTACAGTGGTCCCCCGCTTTTTGCAGATCCTCAGTTTTTGCAGATTTTTTTGGAGCACACCCGCTCATCACTTAATAAAATTGCAGTTTCCTCACTTTTTGCATTTTGCAGGCCAAAAATGGGGACCTGCAATTTTCCGCTATTAACTCAGGAGCCTGGGACACAGAGTTTCGAACCAGTGACATCTACATGTAATGCTGATAGATAGCATTGCTTTGCTATTCAGTAAGCTTTTGGTATATCGCTTTTACCATAGTGGTGTGGAGGTGTCGATAGTGCAGTATTTAAACATCAAAAGTGAGACGACAGCCTTTTATATAAGAGTGGAGTTATAATAAGTAGCCTCAGCACAGCACCAATATCTTTTAATTGGTTTACTATCATTGACACTTGATTAACATAATAGACTCAGTCTGTGTAAAATCTCATACTCATCCTCATCTTTTGCAGTTCACCAAAAACCGCTGCTGCAAAGAGCGGGGGACCACTGTATAACGACGGACTGAAAAATCATTCTACTACTTCCTGTACAGTAATTCCCTCTCTTCTCGAACACCACTCTCTACATTTCATTGTTATTTGATATATTCTGGCATGTGTTAAATAGCGATGTTGATAAGATTTACTCAATACCACAAAGGAACATTATATTTTACATCACTTTGATTTATGGCTCTCCCGTTAATATATGGTATAGCAAATAACAGAACACACCACTTAGGTATACTCATAATCTTGCGGACACCCCCACAAGTATATATTTATAGGATGTGTGTAACCTGATGAGGATTAAAAATAGAAGGGGGTGTCCGTAAGGATTAGAGGGGGGTGTCCGTATCAAAAGCCAAAGAAAGATTGTCCAGTTCAAATAAGTCCCTAGAGCAAAAAGATCTCTGTAGTAGGCTCGTCAGACTTTCTATAATAGAGGGATGATCCTTTTGTTGAGTGGGGAAAGAAGGATGAACCGGCATGGAAATACCAAAGCATTCATGTTCTTTAGCGTTCTCCAGCTTGATACTAGGCTATATGAGCAGCTTATACAAGATGATAGAGGTAAAGACGTCTTTCAAGGCACAATCACATAGAGTATGTACAGTACCGCATTGTTAAGCTCAAAATTTGTACAAAAGTCTCTTTGTGGAAAGCTCACCAGCTATGTCAGCACCACGAACCTTGTAGTGACTCATCAAGCAAGGAGTGAAGTGGTAACAAAGAGACAGCCGCTATTGACATTACACTATTTAGACTGTTGGATGTGGGACACGAGGATGATTATCGGAAGAGCGTGTTGGTGCAAAAGCGAAAGAATGAATAACACTCACTGCCGTATCGTTTCTTCTTATGCTTTATTCAATGGTGCTTACGAACGAACAGCATAACCAACGCGCTAACAACACAAACACGACACCTGTTCACTCACCAAACGATTACCATCGCGCAATCAATAAAAAGATCATGCATGAACTGTTCTATAATGGGCGTTGGATTCCACGCCTAAGATCTCTTAAACTCATTCTTACCCTTTCTTACCCTTTCTTACCCTTGCTTACCCTTGCTTAGTCAAGCTTTTATATGACACTCAAAACTCCCTAGATCTGATGTCAAATAAAACACCAGCTTTTAAACGTATTGCAGTATAGAGAAGGATAAGGCATTCTTGCTTGAATCCAAACCCGTTACCAAACCCACTTGGATAAATACCATCCCAATGTCAGTGAAAGCAACAGAAGACAGTATATGCTCCCAGAAAATGCAAAATAAATATGTGTAAATCTTTGTTGTTGTTGTATGCAAAAGAAACGAGTTCTCTAAGAGAACGAAATGATAGTGTATGTCGATTTTACAACTTGTCGTAGTACTTGTCGAGACCAGGGATATCTTCGACAAGACCCTTTCTCTTACGGACGTTACGGATGATATCGTAGACCTTGTTACCGGCTTCCAATGGGTCACCGGTCATGGCCTGCCAGTGATCGAAGACAGCTTGAGGGAAGGCCTACATGAATAAGAAAGTTAGTTCACAATTCATTCATATACACACCAACATGCGCTCTGCTCAGCCTCCTTCATGATATTTTACCTGACCAGCAGTGGCAGCACGCAAATCAGCGGTGAAACCGAACGATTCGTTGACGGGCATGTAGGCCTTGATGTTCATCATGGGGGTACCAGGGCGCTGCTCCTCAGAGAAGACCATACCACGACGACGGTTAAGAACAGAGTAGATACCACCCATGGCAGAGTCGGGGCACTGGATTTCGACGAGGTAGACGGGTTCCTGGATACCGGGCTTGGCGGTAAGCATGGAAGCGTAGACGACACGACGGAATGTGGGGATGATCTGACCACCACCTCTGTGGATAGCATCAGCGTGAAGGACGACATCCAAGATGTTGAAGCGACAGCCACGCAAGTTCTCTTCGGCAAGGGGACCTTCCTTGGTGGCCCACTGGAAGGCAGCGACACAGGAGTCCTTGATTTCGTTCAAGTACTGGACAGCCTTGGTGACATCGACAACAAGGTTAGGACCGGTGGCATCGGGACCGAAACACCAAATCTTACGGGCCTCAGTGACATCCCAGTTGTACTGGTCAGCCAAGATACGGGCACGAGCCTTGAAATCATCCTTGGGACCGACCTTTGCCTGTTCGATATCGTTGGAAAGCTCGTCATCCAAGGGCATGGCACGCATGAAGATACGGTTGTGCTTGTTGGGCGACTTGGACAAGCAGTCCATTGAGGATTCGGCAGTGACGGTCTCACGGTACTGGACGACGGGGTCACCAGTGCGGATGGGGACCTGGGCGTGGTCTTCCTCAAGATCCTTCAAGATAATTTCCAAGTGAAGTTCACCAGCACCGGCAACAATGTGTTCACCAGAGTCAGAGGTGTAGGTCAAGACACAGGGATCGGACTTGGAGAGACG